TGAAACAGATGTTGAATCCTGGGTTTGTTTTTACCTGAGTTTCTCATATGTGTGTCTGTACCCAAGTTATAAAATGAGTTTGTGTTCAATGTTTTTTGATCACTTCTTTTCCTAGCTCTTTGTGAACTCTGTTGTCTGTGGGAGTTTTCACCACAGCCATTGCCCTGCAGGGCCTTCTGTGACCAGTTGCCTCCGATGGACCTTCTCATCCTCAGCAGCCCATGGAAATCCCCAACATTTTCTTAGTGACCAATGTCATTCTAAATTACAAATTTTAAATTGGAGTTGGGTGTACTTTCTTTTCAACATTATGTTTTTAAGTAACTTACATTCTGGGAAATTATTCTTTTGCAGTTGTATGGCTTAATGAATGGTATCTAATAAACTGATACAAACGTATAATCACTTTAAAATGTGATAAATCAGCTTTCTGTTATTCTTTTTTCCCTTTTTATTAATTTATTATTTTACATTCCAATCCAAGTTCCTCCTCCCTCTTCCCCTCCTGTTCTCGCCACTCCCCCTCCCCACTTCCCATCTGCTTCTTGGAGAGGGTAAGGCCTCCTGTAAGAAGGAGGCAGGACCAAGGCACCTCTCCACCTCCCACACCCCTGTGTCTAGGCTGAGCAAAGTATCTTTCTATATAGAATGGACTCCACTAAATCAGTTTGTGCATTATTATTAGATCTTCTACGCACTGCCAGTAGCTTCATATATTGTCCCTGCTGCATCATTGTCACTTATATTAAAGGAGCCTACTTCAGTCTATGCCAGTTCCCCATTTGTCAGACATGAGTCAGTGATCTCTCACTAGCTCCGGTCAACTGATTCTGTAGATTTCTTCAACATGAGGAATTATTTCTCCTCCCTCACTTCAATTGTACTCCAAGAGCTTGGCCTATTGGTTAGTTGTGGATTTCTGCATCTGATTCCATTTGTTTCTGGAAGAGGGTTCTAGCTTCTCTGAAATTGTAGTTTGTAGGCTGGGTATCTTTTACTTTATGTCTGGTATTCACTTATGAGTGAGTACATACTATATTTGTCTTTCTGGTTCTGGTTTACCTCATTCAGGATGGTTTTTTTCTAGTTCTGTCTACTTGGCTGAGAATTTTAGGATGTCATTGTTTCTTAGCGCTGAGTAGTACTCCATTGTGTAAATATACAACATTTTTCTTTGGGTATATGCCCAACAGTGGTATTGCAGGGTCTTGAGGTAAATTGATCCCTAATTATCTGAGAAATCAGCATACTATTTCCACAGGAGATGTACAAGAGTTTGCACTCCCACCAGCAATGGAGGAAGGTTCCCCTTTCTCCACATCCTCTCTAGCATAAGCTGTCATTGGTGTTTTTGATCTTAGACATTCTGATCAGTGTAAGATGGAATCTTGGAGTGGTTTTGATTTGCATTTCCCTGATGACTAAGAATGTTGAGCATTTCCTTAAGTGTCTTTCCACCATTTGAGATTGTTCTGTTGAGAATTCTGTTTAGAGCTGTACCCCATTTTTAAGTGGATTATTTGGTGGTTTGATGTCTAGTTTCTTGAGTTCTTTTTATATTTTGGAAATCAGCCCTCTGTCAGATGTGGGGTTGGTGAATACCTTTTCCCATTCTGTAGAGAGCTGTTTTATCTTGTTGACCATGTTCTTTGCTTTACAGAAGTTTCTCAGTTTCAGGAAGTCCCATTTATTAATTGTTGCTCTCAGTGTCTGTGCTACTGGTGTTTTATTTAGGAAGTGGTCTCTGCTTTCCATTATTCTTATAATGACCTTGTGTCTATTTAAATACCCAACTCCTTCCTGTATATCTAAAAGATTTTAAAGTTTTCTTTTGCTTTTCTATGATCTTTCCATAAATTATGCATACTGTGTTTCCATTACTAATAAATGTAAAGGCAGAGGGAACTTAATGTAGTAAAGTGTAATAACAATTCATATTAAACCATCTCTGGACATTTGTTTTCTTTTCTGATGTTTCATGATAGTTTTTTTCATAACTTCCCAGACACTGAGGTTGTGGCTGCCTGAAGCCACTGGTACCATTACAGCTATGATGTTGTTATTCTTACATGGTGCTACCACAAAGTCAACCAGTAAATTCTTTAAAGAACAAAAAGCAAATTCAAGTACAAGTTACAAATCACTCCAAGCAAACTCCTATAATTTCCAAATGTAAACTTTACATTCTTTTCTCAAGTTTTGTTGTACTCCATATGTAATATGATGTGTACCATTTAGTTTTAACTCTATTCTCAATCTCAATAGAGTCTTAATTAATCAGCTTAATCCCCATAAACCTTAATTTGGTGACATATTCACAATGTTGTCTTTTTGTAATTTAATATGCCAATAGTACATTAAGTACCCTGAAGCACTGACTATACTATATGTAGCCAAATTTCAAATTGTGTCTTGATAAGCATGAGATTAAAGGCATGTATTAATTGAAGGTGCAGTCCTTATTGTCTAAAGAGTCCAAATGAAAAAGCTCTATTTTAACATAAAGTAAAGTTACCAATCCTGGAATAGTTATTTCCATGTCATTATTGTTTACTGAGTACTGTCTACTAGATAGACTGCAATGCTAACAATGTCATTCATGCATTTATCTTATTTAGTGCAATTTCAATAAGCATTGAAGTAGTTGGCATTTTCCTATTGTATAGAGGCAACAAAGGATTAAACAGACTAACTATGAAATTCCCAAGACAGAGCCCAGTGTCCAACAACCTATGTATACTTAATCCCACCTGGTTCCAAAGTGTGACTCTTAGATTAACTTTCCATCCTTTATAGATTAATCCTCTCTAAATATGAAAGTAAGAAAATTGAAAAACAAGCTATATGCTTCTTATTAAAAATATATTGAAGATGCTATCATAGTTATTACATTACCTGAAGTATGTATAAATGAGCTACTTTTGAGAATTTTCTCTATCCCCAACTAGACACAAAATAAAACCCCCAGTACAGGAATGTATTGCCTCTTTTTGAATCATTGTCTAACTGGGACCTATAGAATCCCCAAATACTGCAGTTACCCTCCATATCTTGAAAACATCATGCACTTTGAGTACAGAAGATGCAGAAATCTGGTGTGTACTCAACAGGAAGCTTACCCCCTATTTGCTGGCATTCATAGTGCTAGAAGGTACTATACATGTTACCAAAAGAGAAAGGTAATAATCAACCTCACAAAGCTATGAATCCTATGAGATATAAATGACCTGTCTTCAAGATATACATACTGGTACAATAATGGAACAAATGTTAGGGGAGTGGCAACTATTTCTCAATTAGATTTACGGCCACCTCTATGAGATGGAAAACATACGTGATATTGTTAAGGTCAAGAATCTGAGACTAGATAGGTTATATGCCCAGGGTAAAACCTACCAGTATTTTTCAGTCAAATGAACATAGCTATAACAAGACTATCAACAGCATATTACTATACTCATCAGGAGTTCATACCCTGATGGATATAGTAGTGAAGAGTCCAGAAACTTGCCCAGAGCTCTACTATGACAGGCAGCAGAAAAGACACAGCAGAATATAGGCCCCTGACTCAACAGGATGTGGTAGGATGTGCTGTGCCCCTGATGTTTTCCAGTGTCCCTGTCCTTGCGCTCCATGCTAAAAAGAAACTGAGTGATATTCCCCATATAGTCAGGAACCAATTAGGAGCCAAACTAACAGGCTCTGAGCAAGTTTCCCTTATAAAGATGGAATGTAGTAACCATAGCAACTGTAAAAGTGATAGCAACCTCCCGGCAGCTGCAACTAACCAATTAACTAAAGACAGGTGCCTCCAGTTCAGAGGTTCAACAATCATGAGTCTGTTCCTATGGAGTTTACAGCCCCTAGATCCTCTTCTGCTTTACCCCTAATATATACCCAACCCCACTGCTACTATGGGTCTCTCTCGCTCTTCTCCACCACTTTGCTGGATAGAAGAGAGACATGAGTTTGATTTTGGTATCATTAATGGACCCTTTGCTTTTGCATGGGATCTGGTCTCTTGGTGGTCTTCCGGGGTGCTCTGGGTATAAGAGTAGAGTACTTTTGATTCCTGTCAAAGAAGTGTGAGCTGCAAGTTTGAATGCTGATTTAAAAAATGTGTGTTTTCACTTAAGTTTCTGGGTTAGTAAATTTGTTATAGATGAGCTGAAAGCTTTTCTGGTTCAGAGGGTGTCAAGAATGTCTAACTGGACACACCTGACACGAGTGGTGTACCTCAGCTTCCTACTAAGAGCTTCCTCAGTGAAACTGGTACACTAGGACACTAACCAACATCCAAGAAGAGCCTATTACTGCCATGCCAAGCAATACGCTTTTGTTTTACTCTTCAATGAGCATCCTCTTAGAGCTATCTCTGGTATGTCCACTGAGCCTCTTTCCTTTTAAAGGGTCTACTAGGAGATTATGGAAATATTTGCGTGATTTGAGGCTGGATTCTGGAGAAATAGAGCTACAAATACTTGAAAATATATAAAACATTGCTTTACAGTATTCCCCCTATATTCTTTGCTTTTGTTATCTGAGTCCAAGTGGAAGTTAAAAAAAAAATAGTGATCTACTTGGAAGCAGAAAGTAAAGTGGTCGTTACCACAAGGGTTGAGATAAAAGTTTCACTGACACACTTTGGTCTAGAGCTCTGCTATACAAAATGGAGGATGAGGTCAATAATAATTCAGTGTGTGCCTGAAGGATGGATTTCCTAAAATGATACCTATGACATAGAAAATATGCTAATTAGTTAGATTTAGTCACTCCACTGATTTCACAGATTTTAAAAACTCATAATATACATTAAAAATACAACTTTATCTTCTGGTTATAGGAATAAAACTTGTAATTTTGTATAAGTATAAATTTATGAATCAAATTAACCACAAAGTACATGTTGGTAAATATTTATTAAATATTTTCGTTTAAGTGTTTAATTTTCATGCTCCCTTTCCTTTCCAACTTACATTCTGGTTGCCTTTACTTTTCAGATGCAACAGCTGTTCCATGAAAATTATGAACACAATCGTAAGGGTTACATCCAAGACCTTCACAACAGCACAATTCACGCAGCCATCACACTTCATCCAAACAAAAGGCCCGCATATCAGTACAGACTACATAATTACATGCTCAGCCGCAAGATATCTGAACTCCGCTACCGCACCATCCAGCTCCACAGGGAAAGTGCGCTCATGAGCAAGCTCAGCAACAGTGAGGTGAGCAAAGAGGACCAGCAGCTGGGAGTGATGCCTTCTTTCAACCACTTCCAGCCACGGGAGAGAAATGACGTCATTGAGTGGGAGTTCCTGACTGGGAAGTTGCTTTACTCAGCTGCAGAGAACCAGCCTCCTCGACAGAGCATCAACAGTATCCTAAGGACAGCCCTGGATGACACGGTCTTGCAGGTGATGGAGATGATCAACGAGAATGCCAAGAGTAGGGGCCGGCTCATTGACTTCAAGGAAATTCAGTATGGCTACCGCAGGGTTGATCCCATGCATGGGGTGGAGTACATTTTGGATCTGCTCCTCCTATACAAAAGGCACAAAGGAAGGAAACTGACTGTGCCTGTGAGGCGCCATGCCTATCTTCAGCAGTTGTTTAGCAAATATTTCTTCAGAGAAATGGAAGAGCTCAATGTGAACAGCCTGGTGGAGAGTATTAACAGTGGCACCCAGTCGTTCTCCTTCATATCTAATTCTCTAAAAATACTCTCATCTCTTCAAGAAGCCAAAGAAATAGGATGGCACAAAGAAAAGAAAGTCCACATTCTTGTTCCCCTCACTGGAAGGTATGACATTTTCTTAAGATTCATGGAAAATTTTGAAAGTACGTGTCTTATCCCAAAGCAAAATGTGAAGCTGGTCATCATCCTTTTCAGTGGGGATTCTGGCCAAGAGTCCAACAAACACATCGAGCTGATACATGAATATCAGAACAGGTACCCTAATGCAGAAATGATGCTGATTCCCATGAAGGGGGAGTTTTCCAGAGGTCTTGGTCTTGAAATGGCTGCTTCTCAGTTTGACAATGACACGTTGCTGCTATTTTGTGATGTTGACTTGATCTTTAGAGGAGACTTTCTCCAAAGATGTAGAGACAATACAATTCAGGGACAACAGGTATACTTCCCCATCATCTTTAGCCAGTATGACCCAAAGGTGACCCACATGGGAAATCCACCCCCAGAGGATGACTTTGTATTCTCAAAGGAAACTGGATTTTGGAGAGACTATGGCTATGGAATCACCTGTATTTACAAAAGCGATCTACTGGGTGCAGGTGGATTTGATACCTCAATACAAGGCTGGGGACTGGAAGATGTAGATCTCTACAACAAAGTTATCCTAGCTGGCTTACAACCCTTCAGAAGTCAAGAAGTAGGAGTGGTGCATATTTTCCATCCAGTTCATTGTGATCCTAACTTGGACCCTAAGCAGTATAAGATGTGCTTAGGATCCAAAGCAAGTACTTTTGCCTCAACCATGCAACTTGCTGAACTCTGGTTAGAAAAACATTTGGGTATCAGGGACAATCGAACTCTCTCCTGACAGTCCAGGCAGCACACATTGCCTTTTGAAAGGGGAGTTTACCTCAGTGTTGGCTGTTGTTATTTTTATTTTATTTTTATTTTATTGTTATTATTATTATTGTTGTTGTTATAATTTTATTTTGTTGTCCTGGTCTTAAAGTCCTCTTGGTTGTCTTCCAAAGGGTGTTTGTTGACCTCAAGCAAGAAGAATCTGAAGTTCACTGATAATTCAGTCAGCGTTCTACTGAAGTCAATACATGTATTACTTTTATATAACTTTATTTGAGATTGAGTTAAATCATGGCAATCAAATGACTTTGGAAGCTCATTCATCACAAGAGACAGCTTAGAAGAATGTTCTCTTAGGGCTTAAAGATGCAATATTGACTTTTCTTTTGTTTGTCAACTTCAATGTGATACAACTATTTACTGGTGAAAGGTACCACAAAAGTGCTTTATGCTTCCTATGGGGAAGGGACTCTGTGACATACACTTGAGTTTTGTAATTTATACAAGGACTTAAATATATAGACAATAATTTTCTTCATCGTTAGAATTTTTAAAGTAAATGAACACCTATGATTGTATGTTTATTTTTTAAGAAAAAGTTTTAAAAATAGAGGAGTACTGTTCCACGAGCAACAGACACTGGCTACCCTGGTCTTACAATTACAAACTCCTCACAACTGTCTGCTATAAATGCGAAGGAACTTTATTTTCTCAAGGAAATATGATTTAATGAAATATTCATGTACATTTTAGAAGCTTTATGAAACAATGTCCTTCATTTGCTGGCAAGAAGATAAAACATGACAGAACCTGTTTATTTATAATAAAACACAGGTATAACCGTATTCTTTTTCAAAAACATTGACAAAGTTCTGTTGTTTCCTTTCTGTCTTATTTGATGTAATTTTTAGGGTGGTGTTCACCAAAATGTGCTGGCTTCACAAGATGAGATCATGGGAAATGCATTGTATTCTGCCTTACTTGAAACAAAAGTAAGTGATTCACAAGAATAAATCCTTGGGCTGGAGAGATGGCTCAGCGGTTAAGAGCATTGAATGCTCATCCAGAGAACCCTGGTTAAATTCCCAGCATCCACATGATGGTTTACAACTGTCTATAATCCAGTTCCAGGGGACCTGACACCCGTACACAGGAAAAAAAATGACATTGTAAAGGACAAATGTTTTAGTATGTTGCTTATTAAAAAAATTCTTAATTCAGTAATCCACCATCTGAAAGGAGAGTCACTTCTAAGTTTCTGAAGACTGACATTTGTCAACCACAAAATAATCATTCAAAAATCTGCCTTAGAAAGCATATAAAAATATAACAATACTGGGGGAAATTATAAATAAGATTAATTTTATAATTATGAAAAAACATCTAGGGAAATATCTCAATTCTCATGATAGTTTTTCTTTTAACTGAATCTATGAGAGGTCATTTCTAGAAAAACACTGTCATATTCAAGGAATGTAAGAGAGACTGAATACCTACATACCTATGTAAGTAAGTCTCATGAAATGTATTTTTAAAAAATCATTCTGCAAATGGGTAACACATTTACACCAAATCAAACAAAACACATAAATATCTGCATCTATCTGCATTTTCTGCATTCCACCCTGAACTTCCTAGTACTACACAGGCCATGGTTTTGGCTGACATATGTCTTCATGTCTGTCTTTAGTTTCCCATGAAGATAAAAAGATTTATCTCTTACATTTTACCCTTTATGAACCAAGTAAAGCAAATGACTTTGGTTTTTCACCAAAAAAGAAAACTATTTGCATCAAAGTGAAACA